TAGAATTGCATAGATTAAGTGATAAGTCTTGATTCACCTGTCAATTGAAAAAGACTTGAGGTCAAAAATAGTGTTTAATGTGACAAAGAGCAGTGTATATTTACCAAATCATAAAACTTACATTGATCATATACTTTGCAAATAAAAATGTTTCTCGTCTGTGTCCTATTGTATTCTTCTCAGTCAGTTGTCACCTTCTTCTGACGTTTCTTCATTGAATTTTCCATTGACACATCAACTGTCACTGTCTATCCGATGTCTTTGCTCAATATACTACTCATATCTTTATATAAGTAGTACACATCGCTACTGATATAATTATTTCCTTGAGTTCCAAGCGGAGCATAAATAGTTATTCGTACATCTCCATTTCGACCTGTTATCTGCGGTTCTTTTGCTTTAGCTGGCTCCCCAATCGCCCATAAGCTCTTATCTCTTTCAACTCCTCGTTAGCCTGTGTCTGATCCATCCCCATTTCCCTCTGCATCTGTTGGTTCGTTGCTAGAGTTCCTTGTTGCGTTTCCCTTACTGCAGGCGGTCCAATTGATCTTCAGTATGGAGCGAAGAGAGATCTTGACAAAAGTCACCAGACTGTTAGAAATGCTTTTACTGACCGGTGCGCCGAAACTCTGAACCATATAGAAGGAAGCACTGACTGAATCACCTGGAAGAGGTAATATCCTTCGAATTTCTCTTGTTGATTGTGATAGGTTCTTGTTGGTGTTTAGATATCTTCACCCATGACTTCCTGCTCTATATTCATGACAGTGACACCTCATTACTTAAATGATGTTTTATCAAGGTTTTACAATAATATGTATTGATGTATACTGATTCACTATCCGTTTTCGAAAGTTGATCGTGCGGATTTAAAGTAATTTAATCATTCCTTTTTCTAAATTAGATGGTAATTCATAATAATTTAACTTTTACGGAATCACTTTATGACACTATGTCGTATACAGTTGACAATGAGCCACACCTACTCTGTGTGATTGCTACTGATTTTAACTGGCTGTCCAAATCTCGGTAGGCGAAGGGAGGAACGAACCTGTGACCCAGTGGTTCGAAGTGGAATGTCTAGACCAATGAGCCACAGTCGCATTTCTAACACTGTGGATAGATTTAAGTCATTCTAACTTATATTCACTCCGTAAAAACAAAACTAACCCTTACAAACCAACTATAGAAAATTAATCTGATGCTCGCCGGTGACTTGCTACAGGATGGAGTTTCCTGGAGTTCTAGTGAGAAGACGTGACCAGTGAGGGCCATCCGGATGTCACGTGTGAGGATGGATGTCCCACTGATGACATTGGCTAGTGGTCGCGCTAAATCATGAATTGGTAGAAGTGAGAATTCATGGAACGACCGTTGAATCGGCTCCCATTGGCTGAATAGTATACGAGCCAGCTTACCTTGTAACTGGAAGGTCATTGGTTCGAACCCCCTGTTGGATGGTGCATGCTACTAATGATTCCCAAACTAGGATGAAACAGCAGCTGTCCAGTACTCCCTGTGGCTGGTTTTCAATGGTTCTGTAACGGATATCCAATCCGTGATCAACTGTTAAAAAAACAAAACTGACCCTTACAAACCAACTATGGAAAATTTTAAAGATCACTACACCTATTCACCAGTACTTAAGTACTGGTGTATTCTCACAGTAGAATATTTTTTTATCATTAATTTATCGTGAAATAAGATCATCTATGACGTGTGTGTTGCATGCATTGTGCTCGTTGCACTCCTACTTTTAATAATTTTTGTTACAATTTCTTTACTGTCATTATTATTATTATTATTGCACTTTAGGCATCTTTAATTTTTGAATAAAAAATGTTCTTTGCGTTTGATTTATACCCATGTGTGTGTGTTACTAAGCTAAACCGGTTTCTTAAAATCTTAAATTCCTTTTTTGGTTTCAATCACTTGCCAGGGTTTATTTTCTTTTCTTTTTCTCGGCCATATTCTCATTCTCTCTCTAGAGGACCTTTTATTGTATACACTTTTTATGTTGATCAGTATGTGAACGGCGTTATCTTTTTTTTTACAAACTTTATCAAATCTTCTGCCTTCTTTTTTTAAGTATCCGGGTCAAATGACCTCCTATTCACATTTGCTTTCGGTATATTATCAACTAATCTTTCTTTTGTTTGTCATTATGTATGTGTGCGTGAGTGTGTTATCCAGCGCTACTTTGATATGATTGTGTTGTTCAGTTAAATCTTTTTCCTGCCTTCTGTGTCATTTTCGCCCTTAGGAGATCTAAACTTATTGCTTGGTAAGAACTTGTATGTGTTTGTGTGTGTGTGAATGTATCTGTGTAGCTTGTTGAATACCTTTGCGTTGTGATGTTTATTATTTTGCTGTGTTAATAAATTTAACTATTATGGGTAAAAAGTTTCCTTTCAAAAAATAACTGAAGCTTTGATAACTACTAGTAGTATCTATGATTGCACTTCACAAATGCCTTGGGTTGTTTTCTTTTTCCTGGTTGTTTTGTTTATTTTATGAACCATTTTTTGTTAACGTTATCACAAATGGGTTGTGGTGGTGGGGGGGGGTTATGTATTTCAAAGATCATTTCATTGGATGTGTTGGGAAATATGGTATTATTTGAATTATATGTGTTTTCAATCTTAAAAATTTGCTTAAAATTGTCACACATTAAAAGCCTTTTTACCGTTAACAATAACTCTGGTTGGAAAAAGTTAGCAGGATGCCCCTTAGACACCTAGGTTTCGTCAGTAAGGTATATCTACAACCTTGAAAGGACTTGCGTTGATTCAGAGACTCAGATTGAAGTTACCTCTGAGTTATTTAAGCTTGTGATTGACTAAGGACCAGATGCATGATACTTATTACTATCTAGTGTCTAGTCTTTCTTTCTTCACTCCATATTAATTTATCTGTTAGATGCATCCTACAGTGAAACAGTATTATTTACTGGATGACGTTTCGAACAAAATTCATTAATTTTCCTAACCATATCAATTATAATCACACGACTTTGAAACTTGAGTTTTATAGCTTTCTTTGTCTTCTCCTATTTGTCATAGGGGTAGTAGAATTTTCCAGATATCTCGGACAAGTGTTGAATCATTCCTATTACATGTATTTGCAGTTGATTCGACAAACAAAGCTTCCGCTGTCATCAATCTCTCGCTTCACCCTGTGACTTTATATTTTAAAACTGTCATCCTATCCATCCATCATATTGTATGGTTGTGTGTAATTGCATGTTGTGAGTAGTACAGCTGAACTATTCTCTAGATTTCTTATCTTATTCGGGTCAACTAATGTAGATTTTGCAACCTAGCAAAATCTACAGTTTTAAAATCTAAAGTCACAGGGTGAAGGGAGAGACTGATGACAGCGGAAGCTTTGTTTGTCGAATCAACTGCAAATACATGTAATAGGAATGATTCAACACTTGTCCGAGATATCTGGAAAATTCTACTACCCCTATGACAAATAGGAGAAGACAAAGAAAACTATAAAACTCAAGTTTTGAAGTCGTGTGATTATAATTGATAAGATTAGGAACAATAAATTATGTTCGAAACTTGTCATCCAGTAAATAATACTGTTTCACATTATGTGTGATGCATCTAATAAACAAATGAATATGGAATTATTTACTACACAGTGACCAAGTTTTACACATACATTTCTTTCTTCACATTCTTACACAGATTTGTGATTCTTGTTAAGGAAAGCATCGATTGAACTTGTTGCATTGAACACTTTTAGATCTGTTATTATGCATTAGATGACAGTTTTGTAATCTGATTCTTAACTAATTTACAGTTAATTCATTATCCAATGAATAAAGCTGGTTATGTACTGTGTAAACTACTAATAACTCCAGATTTAGTGTTCACTACGAATATTATGCGAACGTATTCTATTCTAGATATGATGGAGAAGATTTGTAGCTCAGGCGGATGATTTTGATGTAGTTGCGTTCTCTGAGCTGGATAGTTTATTTGCGAAGCTTTCATTGCCCTACTTACTAGGTAATGTCTTCAGCGCATACTTCAATTTGAAGTCTATTCTACTCTTCTGGAACTGCTGTACTTCTGTGCAAAGTTCTATGTTCGGCTCAGCTCAGTATCACTTGACAATTATTTGGAATTCTATGCAGTTGATAATGAGCAACACATGTTGTGTATGTTCTAGTTTTACTATCCGGAGCTTTTGAAACCTCGGTGCCTGAAGTTAAGTTGGGACCCATAACCCATTGATTCAAAGTCGACCGCCTAGACCAATGAGTCACACCTGCAAAGTACTTGCCTCAGTGAGTCAATTAGTCATGATTGCCAGTACCTTTCATTAATTACTGATGAAGGTGTAGTCTATTGACTCAATCAGTCAACTTGATTGCTTATCCCAACTCTGTCCTTCCGACCGATTTGGATAAGCAAATACCATTGTCAAGCCTAAAATATACAGTTCATTTATCAAGTGCGTGAAGTAGTGTGTGATTTATTTGCAAGTATAGCTTGATAAACTGTACCTTCTGAAACAAAAGTTATTGAAGCAGTAGTTATTGAATTCATGATTCTCAGTTGAACTCGTTACCTGTTTTTTTCCTTCATGTTTTTCAGTGGACACAGGGCTTCGAGCTAGTGGCTTAAAGTTTCTGGAGCAGTGTTAACTCTTACAAGATGAGGTTGCTAGCCTAATGCCCAACCTTTCCTCTTTACCAGCATTACTTCTGGCTTAGCGAGGTAAAGGAGTGCCTCGTCGGTGACCGGGGATCGAACCCGGACCATGTGCGTGGTCCATGAGCGTCCTAACCGCTATGCCACCGACGCACGTCACCTGTTTAATGATTTTACATACTGATATTCATTGAGATAGCAATACCTTGTGAGTAGTTTAATTGGGTCAGATGGAATATATATATATATATATATATATGTTTCTCAATTTTTTCCTGAATAATGTTTTAATTACTCAATTTCACTGAAATTCTTTTTATTTTACACCAGGTGGATCGTTCAACTCAACTCTGAATAACAAAACTATTTCCCGACCTCCTGGTCAGGCAGTACGTGTACAACACATCTCTTCTCATGGTGAAACATCTCGTGCAGAAGAAAACACCGTCATTACACCTAAAATTGCTCAAGACACCAAACGCTTAATGTTAATCAAAAGAGCTCAGATGTTAGCCCCACTAAGTCTTCGAAATCTACTCATGATAATAAAACGTCTTCAGAACCATCATCACCACATCATTCAACTCAGTCTAAAGAACTTTCACATCAACATGTCTCTTCAAATCGTCCTATCGATTATAGTTCTGATGAGGACTTCTTTGATGCTGAAGAGGCTAATTCTGAATTTTCAATAACATTTCCAGATCTTTCAATAAATACTTCAAAAAATAATGAAAATAAAGATTCGCGTAAAGGTGGTAGAAATTACTCTGATACTAAATCGAATGAGCATCATACAAGTCTTGGCGGTTCTCAAGATGATGATTCTTTAGTACCTACAGGTTCTGAAATGGCTGATGAATCGGAGTCTGATGTGAGTTTCACCGATGATGAAGGCGATGACTATAGTGATCGAAATTCACCAGCAAATCAATTCGCAAAACTACGTGAAGCACGGGTTATTCAACCACGTGGAAGAAGATGTGAAAGGTAAATTTGTTTACAGTGTTGCATATTTTATGCTCATTTTTATCATTCATTCGAGATGTTGTACACTGTATGTGTGCTGAAATGATTTTCCTGTCTGTTTTTGATAAAAAAATAATTTGATCGGCGCAGTGTATTGGCTGTACGTTGGTGGCGCAGCGGTTAGGACACACGCCGACCATGCACATGGTCCGGGTTCGATCCCCGGTCACCGACGAGGCACTCCTTTACCTCGCTAAGCCAGAAGTAATGCTGGTAAAGAGGAAAGTTGGGCATTAGGCTAGCAACCTCATCTTGTAAGAGTTAACACTGCTCCAGAAACTTTAAGCCACTAGCTGAAGCCCTAAGTTCCACTGGGGAACGTAAAGAAAAAAAAGTGTATTGACGGAGAGTACCGAACCAAATAAAATCTTTGGCTGTGTTGGTTTGCGTGAGTTAGCCAAGAAGGGATATACAGACTACCTGTTGAGTGAGTGAGTGACGTCAAGAAACGATGATCCAATATCATGAGACTGTTGATAGATGTTGACACGACTACATCTTTCTCAGTGGTATGAGGGTACATTTACTCCTTGTGAACTTTTAGATATTTTTTCCATGTAATTAATTCTCCTTCTTTACATTTCCGTTCATTGCAGTTCCTTTGTGTGCTTATTTTCTTCTACATTTATGTGCTTACAAAGTGTTAACTTTCGTGTAAAGTTCTGCGTTGTAGGACTCAGTCAGTTGATGGATACTTCATAACTTGAAGAGTAGACATTTTCACGTGCTTGCTCTGTTGAGGGACAGATTTAAAGCTACATTTACAGTCAGTTAATTCAATGGAAACTTTATGATTCTTGTAGCCATATAACAAGTGTGCCACAGTTTAGTAAGACATGCTACTATATTAAAGATAACAGTAACAATTTACTCAATATATAATTCTGTTCAATGAAGTGGTTGTTAATTAGTGAAATGTTGATAAATTTATTCCTACCTTGATATGCATGTGCTGATAAGGCTGTTGTTTTGTGCTTGGTTGTTTTTAATTGAGGACATTTTTAATCTTGAGCATAGCATTTGTGATCGCTATATGGTGTTGTCAAACAAGTGCCTTTGGTGTCTTAGGAAATGCCAGTTGTTTCCAATCTGGTTTTTCAATATATACTTTGTTTATGTGTTTAGGGACATCAAGAGATGCGCCACGAAAAAATCTCATAGTCTTTGACTGCAGCACTGGTGACGTGGTTCGAATCTCAGAAGGGACATGAATTCTTTGAAAGTTGCAGATACGCCTTGCCGATGAGTGCCAACTAGCGCCAAACCTAGGTCCAAGGCTTCCTGTGGCTGATTGCCTCCAACCATCTAATATCATCAAACCGATGTGCACCGTGACGGTGAGCTACCTAGAATGGTGGCCACATTACAAACCTGACTGACAGAATTCAGTCTGCACCAAAGTAAGGGCTAGGCACATCACACTAGTTACTAGTGTCCAAACAAAATCTCATAGTTTGTACGAGGGCTGGGATATTCCTCGGACGTCTAGATCTAAGCAACTGGTTGTTTTAAGGAGCCACTCCGAAAGCATTTGACTTTAAATCTGGTCCACAAGACAGTTTAGAAGCGTCGAAAGTTGTGTTCTTATGGTTTCTTGTGTGATCGAAATAGATTTGTACTCCATTCAATCCATTTAGATTCTGGATTCCATGTACACCATAGGTTTTGAATCGCGGTTTCCCAACTTCCCTGGGTAAACTATCATGTCTACCAGGTGCGTTCATTCTTTTTTTTGTGAGAAACACATTCTGCCCCATAAACTTAGTGAATAAGACTTGAATTACAGAGGGGGTGGCTATGAACACATGGTCACGTGAAAGCGTTTCGAGAGAAAGACCGAAGTTTGCCCACTCTCAGCCGTATCAGGTCGTTTTGTTTAACCGATTCGACGGAGTATGACGAACCGTAATGTCCAATGATTTCATTCTATTTATGTATACATTCACTGATGGGGATTAATATAAGGACACATGCTAATATTTCTAGATTTTATGGCTACGCCCATATATTTTTATTGTGCATGCATGTAAACAAATTGTAGTCCTTCTAAATTATGAGACTGCTGGTTTAGTACGAATGAAACATTGTTTTTCGGAAGTTTATTGATGTGATTGTAACACTCCTATTTTTGAAGCTATATATTCGAGTGTTGAAAGATACCTAGCAGTAAGATGTGGATTGATCATTTTACTTTGTTTGGAAGTCATCAGATACCCCTCTAGACTTTCACTGATAGTCACTGTGAAGAGAATGGCACGTCTTTATTTACCAGTTGAAGAGAAAGCTTGTCAATTCACTTATAAGTAGAAATGATATGCGTGTAACTCTTAGGTTTATTACAGTGAGACAATTGGAAATAATACTGAAGATAAAATTTGAGTATTAGATAAGCACATTTTGACTATAGCATTTTCTAATAGTCTGTTCAAATTTCTTATGACAATTTGTAAGAGAAAAAAAGACTATCGAATGAAAATGAGTCAAAGAAAATTAAAAACTGGAACTTGGCACTCATTGTTTCAAACACCGAATACCTGTCAGCTTTTTTTGTCCAGTTACGAGTCCCTGTCTGTCTGTCTGTCAGTTTTCGACATAGAAGTTTGCACATATGTACAGCAGTTCAAGTCTCCACACTCCATGTAGCACACAAACCAAGAGAAGAAAGTGTAAGAAAAGCATAATAGAGACAGTAAGCAGGGTGTGAGACAAAGGAATAGTAGTAATGAAGAACAAAACAGTTTCATTGGAAATCATAAGTCACAAGGAGTGGATGCATCTGCTCCAGCCATTGAGAACGATTTTGAGCCATGTCACCAATTGTTTCCAACCATAGATTTTTACCGTCCCGAGGACCCCAACCAGTCAGGAAGTCTACACCTTCCTATGTGGCTTAGACTAAATGTTGTGGATTTCATTGACTGGTGAAGCCATGTTTTGGTTTGACCGCCACTAGCTCTTTTCCAGCCTGACCCTATGTCAGCTAACATTACCCGTCGGTCGAGGAAGGCGATGACTAGGTATACATAACACATGTCCTAACCATCTCAGTCTTTGTAACTTCACAACTTCGTCGATTGATTTCCCCTTCTTACCTAGAACTCGACGCCTAACCTCAATATTGCTGACCTTATTATGCCACTTCACACGGGAAATAGAGCTCAGGCACCTATGATCAAAGACAGCTAATCTTTTCATGTCTTCCACTCTCAGTGGCCAGGTCTCACTGAGAGTCCCTGAAGGAGGAGATGCTCATCTTGCTAGCTGCTGCCAATCAAATGATAATATCATCGGTCATAATAATAGTGATTTCTTCAGAATACATTAATATGCAATATATATATATATATATATATAGTTAAACTTGAACTGTTGATCATATCTGGATCAAGAAACTTATTTTCCTGATTTTAATGTTTACATCACTTGACTACCCCTGTATATAACAATTATTGAATAATGGAAATTATAATTTCATGGATGATATTTAAAAATCTGGCTTGTGACAGTATTCGAACCAACCGCTTGTAAATCACATTTCTGGCACTCTACACGATTAAGCTACAAGACCTGACTGCTGACTGACCTCTTCACCTGTCCATTGCAAATCGGCTGCACTAAGCATAACAAGGTTCGGACTTTCAACACTAATGTCAAGTCAGTCAGTGCTTCTATATATTATGATTCAGACACTTGGTGTCTCACCAATAGAATTTTGCCACAGGTTTCTGATTCTTGTCAACAATGTGCCTTCATCTGGCTCACCATATTGTAGATCAGATGGCCAGAAATGATAAGCAACGAGGAACTCCAGGAATTAACCAACCAAGAACGTATTACCCAGCAAATATGTAGAAAAAAAGGTGATGAATTAAATATACACTGAAAAGATCGTTGAGTGACATTGCTCGTCAGACTCTAGAGTTGACCTGGAATGAGAATACACGGGTTGTTGAAGTCTTATTTTCCACTCAGAACCTAAGGGAATGATAATAATAATTCCTGGATTTCGCGTAAATGAATGGTGCGTTACTGTCCACTCAAATAGGTCTTCTCTTGTGAATCCTAATTGTAGTAGATTAGAAGTGCAGGTGTAATGTTGAGGCGATCATTCCTATGAAAACTGGTTATTACTCGATATGATTGCAGGGAAATGACGACCTTGTCAACAGTTGCATCTCGTCTCTCAGCTCGTAAAGCACCGACTTGATAACCCAAAGACTATTGGCTTAAATCTCTCTGCGATTCAGATTGTCATGTCACTTTCAATAGTCAACCACTACTATTATTTATTTTTATTTATTTATTTAAACGCATAAAAACTTGGTACAATATGGCACCAAGAAGAATGCGTCACACATTAATAATAAAACAACATAGATCAAAAGAAAAAAAGAAAGAATATATATATGTATATATATATAAGTAGGGAACGGATAAAGAACTTCATCTGGAAGGAAAACAGTCATGCTTAACAAGTTCAAACAGTATTCGTTAACTATCATTGGGAAGGGAAGAAAGAAGGAAACTGCAACACGTGTAATAGCACGCGATAAGTTTCATTGATTGTTTGTTGCACGTGGTTTTATTAAGGGACCACCCCCGAGCCTTTGACTTGGAGTCTAATCCGTGCGGCAGCGGAACAACGTCAGGAGCTGCATTCCCATGGTTTCCGGTAATCCATTTGGGTTCATATGCCATTTGATCCGACTGGATACTGGAGCCTATGTACCCCATGGTAATTGCTTTTAGTTTAACCGCTATCCAAACAAGCTTCCTGACATGGTAGGACCTGCAGGGACAGAGTCCCAGTCAGTTTAGCATGTTGGGTCATTACGGTTTTCAAGCCCGACCACCACGGCAAGGTAGCAGTTATCGGTCGGAGTTTAGATAATCTGACTTCACCTGCGACATTATGGGATTGGAATACACAAATAGGCTGTCTTCTTTTTGCTTAGAAATTG